ATTGTCTTCAAAACGAATCAGTGTAAGATAAACTCAGGAGTATCGAGAAGAAAAATCAAACCGTAAGTCACCGATTGAATTTGCATCCAGAAGGTCTGAGAACAACACGCATAATCTCAGAACAGATCCGAAAATTCTTCACATCGTTAAGCACAAACCCCATGTGTGATCCTTTCCTTTCTTCCTTTCCTGCAAAAGGACACATACTCTTACTTAAAGTTCTGAGTGTTGCACAGTTGAGAGATGTCCTCTATCATGTGCCTGGAACAGCCACTATCAACAAACCGAAGTCTGATGATATGCCTCCATAGCTCCTCCGACACAGATCGGGATCAGTTGGTCTTTGGAACCCAATCCATTTTGAAACTGGGACGACCTTTTTTATCCTTGCAATGTACTTTCTCCCATGACACATCCTGCTTATCACAAACAGAAGATGTGGAAATATTAGAATCATTAAGTGATTTGGGAGATTGAACCTTTGGTACCTATCTGTATTCAGGTTTAACCCATTTCTTGTTCGATCCGATGGGTGCCTTGGTACTTGCTTTTGAACTGGAAGCCGATTGTTGAGATGACTTTGATTTTTGCTTCTTGACCGACATTCCCTTCTTGAACTTGGGAGATGGATTCTTGGCCTTGGGATTTGAATTCTTGCCCTTCATGGCATTCCAATTGCCATTGTCTGAACGTGACCTTGAGGGATTTCTTTTGGAAAATCTCCCTCTTGGCGCGTTCTGCCACCCTTGTGCATAGTATGGAACGTATGCGCGATTTGGACAATGTCTGGCAATGTGTCCGGGTGTTCCACAATGAAAACATGTATTCTTCTTCACTGGGAAGTTGTTTCTTCCTGCCCCTGGTGGCGTGTCCTTGCCTTGTTTCTGGTTGTTCCCACAAGCACACTTGCAACATGCACTCTGTTTCACTGGAATTGGTGGCCTGTATTTCTCAACAGCAGGTTTGTTAGGAGTGACTGAGCTAGAAGCAACAAATTCAAAGTTCAAGGAGACATTGGTTTGTTCAACAGTATTCTCCTTGTTCTCATCTTCCGCTACTTTACCTGCACAAGAAGTAGAGATATTAGAATTCTTCACCTCAACACTTTCTGGCACAACCATGACAGGTTTGCCATACACCATAAATGGTTCTCTATCTATTTCTTCCTGAGTCAAAGGAGTAACAGTGTAGTGATCATTGAAAGGAGGTGGAACATCATGATACCCTAGACCCTTGTTTTGATTATCTTTAAATGTTAATTGTTTTTCTATCATAGACACAACTACCTCACTTGACACATCAAATTTCTTAAAATTGAATTCAGCATCTTTATATTTTGCTTTTAATGTATCAAGTTCGGCAGTCACAGCATCAAAATCATTCTTAAGATATCTATAATGAACGCATTTGTCATTGTACTCTGACTGTAATTTCTTAAAGTCATTAGTCTTGGCCTTTAATTGTTCTTTCAACGGTTTCTGGCCTTTCCTAAGTTGGTACCCTTCATATTTAAGTTCCTAATTTTCTCTTTTTAATAAATCGATGTGTTCACGTAAATTTTTAATTGTTTTAATGCAAGTTTGAGAACAAGAAACTTCATTGACCGGAATGTTTGAGGAACTCATTGTTTAAAAATATGCCCTTTGACTTAAAACCTCAAAAGTCAACCTTAAAAGTCAAATTTAAAAAGTCAAACTTAAAAGTCAAACTTGAAAAGTCAAACCGAAAAGCTAAATTTGAAATTTTAAAAGATAAATGAAAAAGTCAAAGTTTAAAGTCAAAGGTCAAACTTGAAAGTCAAAGTCAAAATTTTAAGTAAAAAGTCAAAATTAAAAGTCAAAAATTAAAAACTAAAAATTTTGGAAGAAAATGGAATTTAAAAATAAAAGAAATTGATTTTTGGGTTAAAAGTGACAAAGTTGCGAAATTTGGAAGCGAGAAAAGACTCCTTTTGAATTAAATTTCGAAGGAATGAAGCAAGATTCAGCTTAGCCCAACTGGTAAGACGCGAAAGAGGAAAGAGTGAGATGATTACACAAGGATCCGGGTTCGATTTGCAACACTCGAAATCCTTTTGATTATCTTTCGCTGCTACGAAGACTATATGATTAAAATGAGGGAAGTGTTTAACATCTTGCAATGTAGTTGAGCTGGTAAGGCGGTGAAGTGATGGTGCAGGATACCCGGGCTCGATCCTTGCAACCCCCAATTTTTTTAATAAGAAGCTGCGAAGGGAATTTGCGCACACGAGGCTGCTTGCGAGGAGGACGCGTGCGAGGACTGTGATGGAGCCGGAGAACGTCCGGAGCCGTGAACTAGCGAGACCGTGAACGAGTGAAGTTGGCCGAAAACTTCGGACCGCAAACCCCCGACCGAACACGTGCGAGGCTGCTGAGCCGTACACCGAGGACCGTAAACTGACTTCGGGCCGTGAACCCTTCTTGGGCCGTACACCGTTCAAAGGTCGTACACCCTTCAAGGGCCGTAAACCCTTCAACAGATGCGAAGAAAAACGACGTTTTTCACCATTTTTGCTCCAAAACTCGATCTAAAACTCGTTTTTATAAAAAAAATGCAAATGACAAACCCCCCCTAATTTTCAGAGATCTATCCAAAAACGCAAAAATCCTTCAAAAATAAGATCAAATACGCTCTAGATCTGGAAAATTTGATTGATACAATCCAAGCTCTGATACCACTTGTAAGTCCCCAATCTGCTTGTGTATCAATCAGATCCGTTTGATGGTGTGGAATCCCAATCAAACGGATGATGCCAGATCTAATGAAGAAGAAGGAGAAGAGGAAGATAATGAATCTTGTATGATTTGATTAGAATGAAGATCCAAATACAAGATTCACACACAACTTACACACACTTAAGCTCATCTCTTCTCTTTAACTTTCTCTCTCTAACATATGCTCTCACTCTCTCTAGCCTCTCACACACTCCTCACCCTATATATATGAGATAGTTGGCCGTACACGGGTTTACAGCCGTAAACCCGTGTACGGCCGTACACACAACCGTAAACACATACATAGCCGTAAACACCGAGCTGTTTACGGTCCTAGACATAAAAATATATTTTCCTACAAAAGCAAAGTATAAACCATATTTTAGACCCAACACAAAAATATCATCCTATCCTTTTAACTTTAACTTTATGGAAAATGACTCTTTAGGGTAACTAACTGTTGCGTTTGTTTTCATTTGGTCCCTTTCCTTTTTTTTGTACTCAATATATCATCAAACTTGTTGTTTGTCTTCACCATAACCCTTTTGACCGGCTTTTGACCTGTGATAGTCGGTCAAAGGGTTATGGTGAATACAAACAACAAGTTCGATGGTATATTGAGTACATAAAAAAGGAAAGGGACCAAATGAGAACAAATGCAACAGTTGGTTACCCTCCTGATTTATTTTCCTTTTACTCATTTACAACAAATCCCACGTCATCTCCTGCTGATATTAATGACTTTATGAGATTCATTATTGCTTCTCTTCAATACATAACCCACGAAATAACATTATTCATATATGTACAACTTTGTAATGCACTTGAATACTTATTAGGGGAATCTTGACTAAGCAGGTGCATTTCATGACTACATTTACATTTCCAGTCAAATGATTTATCGTATCATGGATTCTAGACAAGTCTACAAACGAGTGGAATCACAAGTGCTGTGATTTTTTAGTTTACTTAACTTTAAGATCGAATTCATGGGATAAGATACAACATCAATATGTACAATATCATGCAGCTTTTGCAGACACATCACCATAATATACCTTGTAGTAAACGTTTATTCTGATAAATATATCACTCATACACAGTCATATCCTTTTGCAGAGAGGTGTTGACAGCTAACCACAGTAAGAATAGCATATACCATGTTTTAACGAAGTTACCCCTTCGAAACGTTTTTCATATATGTTATGGCCAAAGAAGGTTGCAGTCTTTGATAATTTTGCAACTTTAATTTCATTTAACTTTTTGGGGAAAATGACTCAAGATGATAACCAACTATTGGGTTTGTTCTCATTTGGTCACTTTCCTTTTTTTTTGTACTCAATATACCATCGAACTTGTTGTTTGTGTTCACCATAACCCTTTGACCGACTATCATAGGTCAAAAGTCGGTCAAAAGGGTTATGGTGAACACAAACAACAAATTTGATGGTATATTGAGTACAAAAAAAAAATAACCAAATAAAAACAAACGCAACAATTAGTTACCCTAAAATGTCATTTTCTCTTATGGTACTTTCAAATGTACTTTCAAATGGTCCAATAAAAAGATCTACTTGGTTAAGTGTTGAGACGGTCCTTTCAACTATTTAATCAATTATAGTGGCAGTCTTTCGTACATCGGTACCATAAATTTTCAATCTATATAGTCGCCCTGAGAACTGAGAAGTTATTGCAATTCATTGATTTTTATTTTTGAACTTTCAGAATAATTCGCAAATAAAATAATGTTGTATAATAGCGCCATTTCCTTAGATAAACAGTTACCAAAATGAAAATATAAAAGCGTAAGCGTTTTAATTTTCCCTTCATAAAATTTGAAAGAATCCATATTTAAAATAAAATTTTATATAATGCTTATATAATTTTTTTTTCTTTTATAAGACTGTTGTTTTTTTTAGTAGGGAAGCGTGAGGTGTGCTTTGTCCTTGTATCAAGGAAGTGTGAGGTGTGTGCGGCACAGACCCATGTCATAAAAGGTCTAAAAAGTTAAACCAAATAAAGTTTAATTATTGATAATAAGGGTTTAAAAAATAAGAAGTTGACTTTATATTTTTATATAGAGTTTGGCCTTGATATATATAACACATGAAGTCTGTATGCATAACGAATTTATAGAGGCCGGTGAGTTCAGTTGCTTAAATGCAATCAATTACTACAGGCATTGAAAAGACGTGATGAAAAATTAAACCGAATGGGCAGGGTCTCATCTGTTTTATGTGTTTTTGCTAAAAAACAATATATTTAACTCAAATAATACTAAAAATATATATTTAAGGAAAAATCGTTTATTGATATTTGATGCATTATAAAAGAGGTTGGTTTCTTTTTCTTATCTCGAACCCAATTCATATGAGCCAATGGAAAAGAAAAGGTATATCTCAACTTCGTCAAATTGTATCTTGCTACCGTAATTACAACCCTCAAATCTCAATACACAATTAATTATTTAATTTAGTTTTTATATGTTTAAAATTTCAGATGTGCAGTCGTTACGGGAGGAAACAAAGGGATTGGATTTGAAATATGTCGTCAACTTGCTTCAAATGGAATTGAAGTTATATTAACAGCTAGGAACGAGAGTCGAGGGATAGAAGCTGTCAAGAAACTCCATGATTCTGGCCTTCCAAATATCCTCTTCCATCAACTTGATATCAATGATCCACAAAGCATCGCAAGTTTAGCTAAATTCATTGAAACCAATTTCAAAAAACTTGATATCTTGGTAAGGAAAAGATCATAGCCCTGTACTTTAACTTGCTTTCTTGTTGTCTCACCATGTATAAAACTGAATGCTGTAAAATGCCATTTACAATTCAAAGTCCCTTTCAAGGTAAAATATTACAATTTCAATGTGACGTTGCTTAAATTATTTTTTTTCGCAGTTCAAGAAAATCTAAACTTCATGTGCAGATCAATAATGCAGCATTAATTGGAATTATTATGCATGAAAAAGAATTCAAAGCCGGTGCTGGATTTGTAAGTAATTTTCTATGCATGCAAGTCTTTCATAAATGGTAGTCGGCTCATTAGAGAAAATGATTAGATCATTAATCAAATCTTTTTAAGATACATGTATTAACTACTTAAATGAAAAGTTTTGTAGATAATTCTGAATCTAAAAAGCTTTCAGTTTTAATCTACAAATTAAGAAAAATCATGAACAATATATAATTAAGCATGATACCATGTCTTCTTTGATTAGGTGCAAGTGCTCGATGAGAATGTGCATCTTCTTGCGGAAGTCATTGAGGAAACATACGAATTAGGTGAAGAGTGTTTGCAAACAAATTAATTACTTTGCAACTAAAAGTGTAACGGAAGCACTTATTCCACTTCTCCAGCTCTCCAATTCACCAAGAATCGTCAATGTTACCTCCACTTACGGAGAGCTAAGTGTAAGTAATCCGTAATCACGTTAAAAAAAAATTAAAAAAAAAAAGGGACTTTAATCTTCCTGTTTTTCAGTATCTTCACAATGAGAAGTTGAAAGAAGAACTACGAGATATGAAAAATGTAACTGAAGAGAGGATTGAAGAGATTATCCAATGGTTTTTGAGGGACTTTAAGGCCTCAAAGTTGCAGGAGAATGGGTGGCCTTTAACAGTTTCTGCTTATAAAGCAGTGCTTAATGCTTACACACGGCTTTTGGCAAAAAAATTTCCTAATTTTATTATAAATTGCGTGCATCCTGGTTATGTTGAAACAGATATGACCATTCAAACAGGATTCATCAAAGTAGAAGAGGGTGCTAGAGCTCCTGTAATGGCTGCTTTGTTGCCGGACGATGACCCTTCCGGTGTTTACTTCCAACAAATGGAAATAACCCCGTTCTAATCTATAAATTGGGCAATGTAATAATAATAATTATATAATATGCATATATCTTTGCTTTTGTGGCTTTGTAACAATAAGATATAATCTGTTTGAATATATGGAAAATAAAGAAACTACCTAAAAGTTACTTACAGTTGCAACAGTTATATATATTTTCTTTAGAATGCATTGAACTTCATAGAGTTTAATGGATTGTCATATTATTTTATTACATTCCATACAACTCTATCAATTTTTTTCTCTAATGGATTGAACTCTACAAAGTTTAATAGATAATTACAAAAGCTAATCTATAGTATATATATATTTAAAAATTAAAAATTTTCCTCATTGAAGAGTTCAATGGTCATTGAACACCAAACTCATTGAATGTCAAGGTAACATCTCACTATGATAGAGTTTAATCCATCGAATGAAATATAGATTTGTCACCTTATTCAACTTTTATATTAAACTCACCATTGTGGATGTCTTAAATAGGGCGAATACTTTTTTCAACCAACTATATTAATTTCAATCATAGAGTCATGGTCACTAAATATCTTTTTGTACAAACAGAAGTACATAAAATTTTAAAACTAGTTCCATTGCTGTGGAAAATTGTAATGCAATCAATTTCCCCGTACGTTTGATGTTTTTTGATATGGAATATTTATCAAGAGGTTGACTAAGATTAAATGCTCAAATAAATATGAAATTCTATTGTTATTATTATATTTTTAATCTATCTCCCTGTATAATAAAAGATTGCATTCTTGCCAATAGTGGCATCTCCTCGATGCCTCCTCATATGATTTTCTCACCTGTAACTCATTAAATTTAGATTACCAATTTACTTCTTCTTCTTTCAATTCGATAGGCCTTATAATCGTCATTTGAATCACGTTCAACTACTCTTCCATTTATACCTCCTTGATATTCTCTTGTTTCTATTTATAACTCCTTGATTTGCTCAAAAGCTTACTAATAAATGATTTCAGCGATCTGACTCATTAAAAGTTCTAACCTAGATTTCTTTGGTATCAAAATCATCTTGACAAAACCACACCCTAAATTCACATAAATGATAAACCCCGTCCCATTTCTTTTCCCTGAAAATTCTAATTCTAGCGATGGTGATTAGTATGGTTGTTGGTGTAACGGAATCTACGAATTTTGTCGTTGTCGCTACTGATTGGTCTGAATGACATGTTCACAATGTGGCTGAAGCTCTAACTTACAAGGCAAGTTCTTTTGTTTTGAACCCTAATCTCTCTCGTAAACATAGTACTATGATGTAGGGTTTTGAGGGTTGAGAAAACAAGATTCTCTCTTTTTATTTGCTTTGCTCTATAACTTCACATTTCTTACACAACCTTATTTTCTAATTTTAAATAAAACAATGTTATTTCGATGATTGATTGACTTTGTTTTTTTAGTATTTCAAATTTTGTATTTCATTATACAACACTATCATTTTATCATTAATCTATACATAAAGAACGTTGTTCACATTTTCAAACCATTTTACACAATAACTTAGATTATCGATTATAGAATTTCGGATAAAACATCTAGCTTTGTGTAAAAATAACTATTTACAAATCTATGATTAATGATTATATTTTCTTTTTTATAGTTTCAATGTTGTTTTATTTTGTCAACCATGTAGTACACAAGTTTAAACCTAGCTAAAAAATAAACCCATCACCACGTCCCTCATCGACACCAACAATTTCATCATTTGTAACATCCAAAAAAATTACAACAAATTTAAACTTTTCAAAACAACCAATTTATTAAAAGAAATGTTTACAATAACATTGTTTCCAAAATATTACTTAAAATCAGAGTCTCTCAAGATACAATCAGTAGTAAAACCAAGGATATGTACGGTCACACCTTCGGCTTGCCACAATCATCAGAAGCACCTGAAACAATAAACTGAAACTGTAAGCACAAAGCTTAGTGAGTTCCCCAAAATACCACCACATTCACATAACAAATAACAACATGCATACAGAGCCTTCATCCTGACTGGAACGCCGCACCGACCTATAGACTATCTGGAACGCTCACAGAACCTTCAGCATGACTAGAATGCCTCACCGGGCTTTCATCCTATCTAGACCGTTCTCTGGGCCTTCAGCCTGACTGGTATGCCTCTCAGGCCTGCAGTTTATCTGGGACGCCCTGGGTTACAGAACCTTCAGCATGACTGGAACGCATCACCCGGCCTTCAACCTATCTGGATCGGGTCCTTTGATAAGTCTATTTTATTAATGTACTAAATTGTCATAAATCTGTTGAATTGATGTGTAATTGCCCAAGAATGACACTACTTTGATGAAATGTTGAATATTATGTGTAGGCAACTACTTAGTGCTAAAGTGGGTGGAACCCGTAAGAAAAACGAGCAAAATGAAGCTAACAAGCATGGGAAACAAATTGCTAAAGGAATAAAGAAAAATGGTGTTGAGAAATTTGACCACTCTTCAATCTTTTGATCATATCTCAAGATCTGGAGCTCCGATTGACATGAATCAAGAAGTTTCAGAAACTAGACAAAATTTCCTACAACTTTCATATTTTACGTTTTTTCTAATTCTACCGTTTTCATCACCAAAAGGGGCACCAAAGATGAAGGACGTCCTAGAACGCGTCTAAGACGTACCCTAGGACGCCTACCCGTTTTAGGCCATTTTCAAGTGTAAATCAAGGACGACAGAAGACATGTAAAATGTCCCGAAGGATGCCCAGACGTAGGGGTGTGCGCGGTGCGGTTTGGTGCGGTTCATACCCAAAACCACAAACCGCACCGCATATGCGGTTTGAGTTTATCGGAAACCGCAAACCGCGCCGCGAAAGCTATAAACCGCGTTGTGTGGTGCGGTTTGATGCGGGCGGTTTTGTGCGGTTTGAAAAAATCGCCTACATGATGTAACATATTATTAATCTTAAATACGTAATTACAAAATGACATTCTCACATTTCATTATGATTTAGATGTGGAAAATTAAGTTTCATGCAACATTTTGTATATAGTTTATATCTCTGTTTATTGATACAACGATACAATATCCATTTGTATAACTTATATGTCTGACTAATAGTGTCACTTTTAACAAGATCTATAATTATAGGTGGTTTTTAAAAACAATATTATTAAGAATTAATTAATACCATAATAACAATAATTAAAATACATAGATAGTACTTAACTGTGACATTGAATCAAAAAACATATACATAAGATGTGAAAAGATGTGAAGTTCTTTATATTCAATGATGCAAATCATAACAAATGTTGGTTACAGCTTACAAGTGCAATCTTGAAAATTTAAAGATATATAAGAATAAACTATAATAACCATTTGGTTATCTAGTTATGCATTTCCGATATATATATATATATATATATATATATATATATATATATATATATATATACACACACATATATATATACACACATGCGGTGCGGTTTGGACCGCAATCTTGTAATTATAAACCGCAAACCGCACCGCAAAGTGCAGTTTAATAAAATTTCAAACCACAAACCGCACCACTAAAGTTCTAAACCGCGTTATGCGGTGCGGTTTGGTGCGGTGCGGGCGGTTTATGCGGTTTGTGCGGTTTTATGCACACCCCTACCCAGACGTCCTATATGACGTCTAAGACGCCCACGATGACGTTGACACGGAAAACAGCTCCGAAAATCAGTTTTTCAACACCTATTTAAAGGAGATTTAACCCTAATCGAAGAAGGACTTCTCCCCTGCGATTTTTCCCAGTTTTGGAGGGTTCCAAACACGTTCAAAGCTTCTCCAAACACATTTTTGATCATCAATTTCCGAATCTGAGGCTACGAATCATCAAGTACACAATTATTCGAGGTTTGAAGATCGTTCAAAGGGTGGATCTACATCAATTCTATCAAGTTCCAGAATTGATTACTTTCTCCCCAAGGTCCCGTTGTTCTATGCTTTAATGATTATTAAACATCATTAGCTTTATGATTCTTAGTTTCTTTATGGATCTTACATTAGATTTCATTGTTTTTATCCTAGTTGTGTGTTTTGTGAATTTTATGAAAAGCTAAACCATTTATGGTTACTTCCGGGAATGTTTAGGATGATTTGATGAACGTGTTTTGATTATTACTTCTATTCCAATCAACTTTGGTTATTATATGTTATTAAATTTATAATTTCTATTAATGATAATTGAAGTTGGGTTTTATTCATGTGTTTAATTTTACAATTAAGATAGTATATTGTCAAATTCACTAATCGTGCCGAGTTTATATAGTTTAGGAACTAAGACGATTGTTGAATCAACATATACTATTCCAAACTTGTGATTTTAAATGCTAAACATTGTAATTGGTAATCATAAGACGCAATATTGCCAAGCCACTCATTGTTACTAATCCATTTAGACATAGGGAGTAAGACAATTAGTAGGAATAACAAATTGTGTGCCCAAAGTTATTTATTGCATATTAATTGACCTTAGTTATGTTTTCATAATTAAATTGGAATTTAAGGGAAGATAAACACGTGACTCTTAATCATCCGATACTGAACTAGAAGTAACCTTATTTTTCTTATTGGTAATCCTTTGGAATATAAAGTTTCTAGTTTTTAGTTAAATCTTAGCTTAAATATTTTTTTCATGACAATTACAAGTACTCGTTCTTTTTTTTTGACTATTTTAACACAAAGTTTGACTACAATCTCCTGGTGGATTCGACCTTTACTTATCCTAGATATCTAGTGTGTGTGAGGTTTATTTTTGACCGAGACAACGACTTCGATCAAAATTTGGCGTCGTTGCCGGGGAGATTGTGCGCTTAAACAATTGTGCTGAAGTAGTCATTAAATTTTAGTTTTTTAGTTTTATTTTTAGTTTGGAATCTTCACTCTTTTTTGTTTTTTTGTAGGTACACCGGTGTCTGCAAACAAGGCACAACATATATTCTTGCTGATACTCGATCGTGAATGGATGAATATAATTACATCAATCAAGACATGTGGTGGGAGAACGAAAATCTAGACCAATATCACTACTATAATGATGATCAATATGATGATGATTGTT